TACTTTATTGTTTTGACTTTCTTCCTAACTTTTTTTCATACAAAAGATTCTAGTCATAGAAGAGTGAAGCATAAAACAAGAGGACAATGAATTGCTGCATTTAACCAGTAAAAACTAAAAAAGTTGTGGGTAATCAAATACCTTTTAATGTTTTGGTCTTGGATTATTACACATCTATACAAATTCAAAAGGTATTGGTGTCAATCCTATTGTTCCACCCTCTGCAAAGAGGCGAGTAGAATTGTCTGTCTCTGCTCTATTTCTATTTAGGGTACTTGATAGGCTGGACATTATAAACATTTACTTTTGAAACTACTTCATTCAAGACATGTACAACTTTAGAACAGAATAAATGTTTCATAGTGGATAGTTTATTTGATTAATTTTTCTGTTTTTTCCTGTAAGCCATCATGAGCCATCTACAAATTGGGGGTTTTTATTGCCACTGTTATCATCATTACGAAATAGTCTAGGACATAAGGGCCATTCAACTCCTGGTAAAAATAAATAATAATGATGAAAAAACCACCAGGAAATTGCTTCCTTACTGTCCTTTGTGCAAGTGAATGTCTACTCTGTTAACCACAGAGTATTTGAAAATATAAAATGGGTACTGCCAAAAAAACCCCAAACCCAGTAAAAAAAGAACAGTGTATGCTCTAGAGAACTTGCAGTGACCTTCAAATCTAAACATTGGCAAGTGTAGTAACAGCTGGTTCAAAATCAACTGTCTTCTGTAAGAAAACAGAAAAATAGATGCAAAAAACCCCAAAGCCACCAGTTTCTCTAACTCTTAGGAAATTGTCACCTTGTGGAACTTACAAAATAATCAGGTAGGGTTTTTGCCTTAAATACTGTAAATATACCTTTAAATATAACATGGTTTATTAAATTTTATCTTGTCAGTTAGGAAGAATAAGAACCAGGACATAAGCATGACCTGATTAAAAAATGAATTTTGTAATTAGACTGGTCATATTTAATCGCAGTCTGGTGCTGTCTCTTTCTTCTCTCATACTTGTGAACACACACATGCAATTATATATAAATTACTATATTATTCATATCAAGTTTATATATCATGCTATACTTTAGGTATTATATATGATTACATATGCACACATGTGGGGTACTGGTGCACTAGGCATTACTTAGAACGACTTAGATTCTCTTATGGTGGTCATTATTGATTAAAATATAGTTTTGACTGTAACTGTTTAGACTCACTAAGTTCTAAACTTCTGTGAGGTATGGGTTTCTCCTAAGTGTTCAGTTTTCCTGAGCAGCCTTACCTAGCAGCTGACTCTAATAATTTCAGTTTTTAATTGTCTCATATGCTTCATTGCAAACATATGCACGTCTGCTGCGTGACCAGGAGATGCTGATGTTTTGTCTTGCGCTTACTGTAGATTATTATTTATGGGTTTCACAAGGTCAATATGATTCCTCAGTATTCCTAAGTTTTGTTTTCAGTTAATGTAGGTACTTTTAGCTCCCTCTGCTGTATAATCTTATCAGAAATCTGTTTTGTTGACTTTGCTTAATCTTCTCAAAGCATGTAACTTAGATATCCTTTATCTTGTTTGTAGTCAAAGAGAAATAAATACATCATTTTAGCTCTGTGTAGAAAACTGAGTCACAATGAATTGTCACAGAGCTGCTCTCATTGACCCTGAGAAAATGGATTGCATACACGAGGGGTTTTTGCCTCTCAACTTCATAGAAATATAAATGAGAAACTGCAGTTTTACAAGGAAGTGAGGCAACTGAAATAGTTGAGTGAGGGTTCTACTAGAAAACATGTATTTACATTGTCAGAAATATGCAAGACTTTCAAAATAATCTGTGCTAGGAAAAAAAACAGCAGAATTCAGAGCACAGTGACACACAGATGTGGCTTCTTTTTGTTTGCGCATAGCTAGGTATTTTGGGAATTGCTTTAAATTGGCATCTGTTGCCTGTTTAGATCCCTAGAATAGCTCTCCAGCTACTTCTGGAGAAAGGCACTGCTCTCCTGCAAGACCAACCTGTCTCCTTTACCAGCCTCTTGCAGCTGGCTTGGAGGCATTTGGGTATCAACTTAAACACTATATGCTCTCTACTGTAAATTCAAATACATTCTGTATACTACCAGAGGAAAGTGAGCTATTGTTATTTTCATTTCTGTTTCTGTGCTGCTTTCTTACTTTAAGCACGTTTATGAGTTTTCTATTCTTCGTGACAGAATCCCCTGGAGTGAGTGCTTCGCTCTGAGCTCTAAGAGCAGGTCTCATCCTCCAGATCTCTGGAGTTCAGGGAGCACTGCACTGGCTCTCATGTAGAAAGGATGTTCAATTAGAAACAAGTTCCACTGTTTTGAGGTGGTTAGTAACTGTTTTGTTTTTTCCTCCGAGGAGATTGACTTCAGCAGAATAATTATCTAATAGTGAATACTTCAAACAGCACTTGAAAACTTCAAGATATCTTCCCCAGATCTTGACAAATGAGACTTCTTGACTTTTTTTTCTTTTAGAGTAGTTTTTTGAAGAGAGGAAGGACCTCAGAACACTTAACACAGAAAAATTTAAACAAATGTACATATTATGTCCAGCATGATATCCTGCTGGGAGGCAGCTGCATATGTGAGGTAAAATTCTGCGCTCATAGTATTGTGATGAAAAGGGTGATTTGGGAAATTAACATCTAAATATCTCATCTGTCATCCCTGATGATCTATTTGAAAGAACAGGTCCTTTCCCTTTGATGGATGTTCAGCCATTTGAGGTCATGATGAATGTTTAACTCGGAGGAATTCCATTACAGCCAATACAAATGCCTGTGAAATGTGAAGAAAAGAAAATATCGTCTTTTGGTATCTATGTTAAAGATGATCTGACAATTTTCACTTCTAATGGGAGTGAGATGCAAAACTTCTGATTGTTGTGCTCAGTGTTAGCATGATGTATACCACCAGTAAGCAGCTATTTTCCACCTTAAATATATATAGTGCCAATAAAAGATAAATCAAGGATACTTCTGTTTACTTTAGAAACAGCATGTAGAAGCTAAAGGATCAGGTACATTGCAGAATTTGTAGCCTTTTGAGAAGAATTGTCCTATATAAGTGTAACTCTGTAGATGTGCATTAAATAGAAATAAAAACTGATCAATGTCTCACACACTTATTGTTGAATAATATTGACTGTGCGATAGAGAAAAACTAGTTACCTGTGCTGTAAACACAGACAAACATATGTGTATTTGTGGCTGCCCCATCTCCGGCAGTGTTGAAGGCCAGGCTGGACAGGGTTTGGAGCAATCTGGTCTAGTGGAAGGTGTCCGTGCCTGTGGCAGAGGGTTGGAATTGGGTGAGCTTTAAGGTCCCGTCCAACCCAAACCAGTCTGTGATTCTATGATATGATACATATAAAATGACCATCACTGTCATGAAAATATATAGGGAGTTCTTGTTTATTTCTGCAAGAGTTGAACTGTGGAAGATTTGAGTCAGGATATAAGGAAATGTGATACAATGATTTCCTTTATACTATATGTAGATGTTAATATGTATTTGTCTGTGATGTCTGTTACTTTAAACTGTCTGAAATTTGTAGGGCTAGGAGGACAAGTCAAAATTCTATCATACAATGCAAAACACTGCTGTGAACTTCTGTAGTTGCAAATGGAATCAAAGCTGCTCAAAAAAGAGGCGGGGGAAGGAAAAGGACTATTTGTGAGGCATTACATGGCAATTGGCCTGTGCCCATGTGTGATACACAGACGTCCTGGCTTCCAGGAGCAGTGAGACAGAACCAACTTTGGAAAGGAGATGTTTCTGGCTCTTGAACTATGCACCTTGCCCAGAAAAGCTCTGACAACTTCATGCACTTGCTACATATAAAACTGCTCTAGTTGTTCACAGTAAGTGCTACAAATCCATGAGCAAATTTGGTTTTCCTAGATGTGACAATAAGACATTTCCATCCCAAAGGAACAAGACAGCCTAAGTAACACAAAATAAGTGCATTGATGGAACCCATATTTGTGTTGGGCAGGTCATCTGGCAAGCAGTTCTGTCAACAACACTGGCATCTCTCATGGACAAGTGCTGACTATAGAGCAAAAGTTGTGCAGTTAAGCTAAACTTTTCTTTTGCCACATGGGAAGAAGAAAGATCCAGTAAGACTCTTTCTAATATAGGAAAGAATTGAACTCCTTATCAAAGTCAAAAAAACACACTGAGAGAAGTGTGTTGATCTTTTAAACTAGAACTCATGATGTGCAGATCATGATCAGCTTTGACTAACAATATGATAAATAATTGGTGATGATGGTTGTGCAATAGCTGAAGGGATGTGGTGTTCATCAGTTAGAAACCAAACAGGGAATGCAGCAGACCTGTTGGTGCTCCCTGGCTTGGCAAGATTCTGAGCAGTGCAGCTATGGCAAGTGATTTTTTAAAGGCTGTTAGAGCATCTGGTCCTATTGGTAAGGCAATCATATGAAAATTGAAACACCTCAAAAAATCTTGGGTTTTGGTTTGGGAGAGAAAAAAAGAGGAAGGTTTCTAGGATACAATATTACACTTGAATATTTTCAGAATGAAAGAGGATAAGAATTGGAAATTTTCCCGTTTTCTACTTTCCTAGAGGTAGGAAATGCTGTAAACACTTGAAAAGGTGACACTGTGAAAGCGCTTTATTGAAGACAGCCTCACCTAAATATACCAAGCTTCCCTTTGCTGTGTAGAAATGAGTGCAGCATGCTGAGTAATCAGCTATATATGCTGTGTGTATAATTTGCTGATCTTGAGCAGGATCAGATTCTGAAACAGGAAGCATTATGCACAGGCATTTATTCCCTTCATAAAATTTGTTGAAAATGCAGTGTATGAAGTAGTTAACAGGTTGCAATACCTGACTTGTTGGGCTTTTATCATTACCCTGACTTTTCAAATGTGACTTGCTTGCAATGTAGTTTATCTGACCTCTTTCCTTTCTCTTTTTTTTCCCCATGTCCAGCGAAACGCCTCAGCTGAGAAAGAGACTTTTCACGCGGTGTTGAGAAAGGAGGAAAATCAGAGCTCCCAGGGCTGTGATTCTCAAGATGTAAGCTTCTCTCACCTAGAACTCAGACCCTAATCTAAATTGTATGAAAACATTAATGCCTTAGACGATTAGCAATGTGACTTATTTTTCCCAGTCAAGCTGGTACATAGATTTTATAAGCCAGCTATATTCTGCACTAAAGCGCTGAAAAGCAAATGCTCTTTGCTGACAGTTTGTGTAGGTATACTCTCTGGGTTTCATTAAAGACTACTTAATGGAACTTGAGCTATTGCATGAAGAGTAGGAGAGGAAACGATGTGATTTGATGTTCAACCGTTTCAAGAATTGGCTTGTTCCCAACGAGTTGCCACATCACAGTGAGATCCAGAACGTTATTTACATAATGTTTCCACTAATAATCAGGCACAGCTGTCACAGATGCTTCATTTGAAAGAACAAAACCTTCAGGGAGATGTAAGAGGTGACAGTGTAATAGCTGACAATATGTAATCTTGTCCACTGCCAGTCTAGGAAAGATGCAACTGTGCTTTTGTTATGACACGTCTGACAGAAAGCTGAATCTGCTGCTTTTACTAAGGCAAAACTCTAATTGAAACAGCATGGTGGGAGCTGTCAGCAGAGATCCCAAATGCATGTATTATGCCTGAGATTATAACTATACAGATGGAACATGAAAAAAAAACCAAAAAAAAACCAGAAAGAAAGACACACAAAATATGTTGAGTGTATTGTCTGCTCAGTAGTCCAAAAAGTATAGTGCTACCTTGACTAATTTGCAGGTGAAATACAGAATACAGCAGGAACTACTGAACATATTACCTTCTTCCGAATACAACAAACTCCTCTGGAAGTAGCTGGGTAGCTTGCTGGTAGCAATCATAGCGATGTGAAGAAAAGTTTGGAAAGCAAGTCTTAGATAACTCTGTATCCAACAAGTTGTAAAAATTTGTATATATTATCCATTTATTACAAATATGCCAGAAATTTATTCAATTATAGGTGATCGCCCCACTGCCACATCCTCTAGAGGGAGGCAGAGACAAGGAGAAATTGAGTATCCAGGAGAAGAGTATGTGATATACCGTTACACCTTTCTTAATGTCTAAAGATGAGGGGAACTTCATTTCTTATTAATAAAAGTGGAAGGAGAAGAAAGCCTATGATGTAAAATTCTGAAGTTGGCGTGAACGTCATTTAGATTGTGACTAGAGGTTGGTTGCCAGCTGGGAAAGTTATGGAAGTTTAATTTAGGTAGAGGCTGAATTGATTTTGGCTGAGTATTTGTGGAAAGAGGTTTAAGCTGCTATTTTTTACAGAAGTGGATACATTAAAGCAGAGAGGAAAAAAGGAAAGTTGTTAATGCATTTCATTAATCAAAAGTGTTTAATTTCTGTGTCAAGTAGTGCAATGAAAGATACTTAAAAGATGCACTTTTCCATAAAATCAATGATTTAGGAATTTTGATTTTAGGGAGTGGCTTTTTGTGTTTTTAGCAACTGGTATTTTTAGCCAGTAAGTATGGAATGTTTCTTGGTATGAAAAAATCTGACAGAGAAAGCAGAAAATTACTCCGACTGGAGTTAAACGTCATGAGGCATCAAACTGTTTTTCATAATCCAAGTTAAATTAAAATCTAAGCCTCTTCTCTGCCAGCATCTAAGTGATATTATAATTCAAAGGAAAGGATGTTAGGCTACATATCTAAATTAGAGTAATAGGATTAAGTTTTATATCATTTAGTCTCTCAATTATCATATTTTAAGACCAATTCTATGTTCATGGGGACTTGAATTTTCTTTAAGTTTTAAATCTTTAAGGTTTGTTAAGTCTGTATTTGACAAAACCTCCTGCATGGAGGAAAAATTAGTAAAATTAGAGAAAGCATACCTGAGGGGTATTCAAATTCACTGCGCCTCACTAAATAACGTTTCTCATTGAAGAATTAAGAAGGCAGTAGTACTATCAATCAGTCTTATCTTGCTTTTAAACAAATTTCATTTTCCAACTGAGAAAAAATGGTTATTGTGTAACATTTATAGTTCATTTGGAGTCTGTCAAGGCAGAATAAAACATCCCAGTTTGTCATAATCCCCTGATTTTGCTTTAAATACCACACAAACGTCAATAATGGAAATGAGAAAGTTCTCTTTTAAATCCAGGGATTGACTGAAGAGAGGCAGTAAATTTTTAAACAGACCTAAAGCATCAAAATACGTTTTTTGCAACTGTTCCAACTATTTTACAAGTCTATAGACCTACCTTGACTACTTTTTGGCCTATGGGTTGCTCACAGATAAGTAAGATAATTTTCATGGTTGTTAAGGTGAAGCTTTTTATTTTTTCTCTTACACACACTGGCCATCTGAACATGGGCTGCATCGGCCATAAAAATAGTGCAGATGGTGACACTGGGCTGGCAACGTCCTTCCACCTTTTATTATTATTTTTTGTGTCTTAACAGATACATACTTTTTTAGAGACAAGGAAGAAATCAAATTAATTAGAGAAATGAACAAAAATGCTTCTTTCTTGAAAAGTCTTGATGACTTTAGAGATGCCGCCTTAAATCCTGAAATAACCAAAAGCAATTTATTTTCCTGAAGGCACATAGTACTTCTGTAATACAAGGCTGTGAACACTTTTGCTTTGAGAAAATTCCAGACTTGGGAATACATTAGGGTTTTTCTCATATTTTTATCATTACTTGATTGTGTGTGTGTATTCTTATCTGAAGTTTTTACAGCTGTTAAACTCTCAGTGAAGGAGGCATAGGCCAGATGGCTGAGAACATACGATAGGTTCTCATGTGCCATTTCTTTAAGAAAACTAAATGAAGGTTGAGGCCAAGATAAAAAACTATGAATCTGCTTAATTCAATGTTGTTTACAATTTCAGCAACACTTTCTCAGAATTTTGCAAAGATCCTCTGATTGTCTCTCTGATTAACGAAATGTGATTTATATTTTGGAAGTATTACTGTACTAAAGACTGACCAGAGAAGAACATGCAGTGTGTCACTTTTTAAGGCAAAAAGAAAGGGAAATAGTAGCTAACTGCTGGTCTCAGCTGATATTTTTTCAGTCTGTATGGTTAAGCATCTCTCATCTCTCTCTTTTTCAAACCCTAATCCTACTACAATTTTTTCTTTGTGATTTGTATGCATGTTCATAATAATTAGTTTATTTAATTTTACATCAGAATGCGTGCAAATGAAGATTTGTTCACAAATGGGGATACAGGCAGGCCAAATTATGTTAGTAGGTCTTGAAATTAGATATTGATGATACCTTAGCTGTGATGACATTTGACATAGGGCCTCTATTTATTATTATTCTATGAGAGGAATCTTGTCAATACTGCTTTTTTTCTTAGTCTTGTCTGGAGAGGTTTTCACTATAACAAGCTGAGAGTTTCTGTGCAGAACCAGAATTCTGCAGAACCCTTTTCCTAGTATCATTTCCCTTTACCCTCTTTCCAGAAGCTATGGGAGTTTTGATTTTGGGGGCTCTTTTTTTTTGCCTTTTACAGGAGAAAGTGGTGCCCCTTTTTCATATCAAATAATTTTTGTAAGTAACACATAATTTAAATCCACCTATGCAGTAGCGCTAAAACATAAAAATTTTATAAAGTGGTTCTTAGGTTTCAGTTCTCATCTTAGATTTCTTGCTCTTTCCCTTGTAGGATCTTCTCTGTTAAATAAAAGTTATTATACTTTTGTTTATCACCTTAATTTCCTGCAGTAAACAAATATTGCATGCTCATTAATCATTCAGTTACAAAGGATGCTGAGTATTGGAGCAAAACTTGTACATGTTCTAAGCACCCACAGCATTTGGCTTCATTTTTCTCCATCAGTTTCGATCACAGAGCTTTGATCACATTGTATTCTCTCATTGTTTTCCCAAGGGAGTAATGAGAGAAAAAAAAGCATCGTTATAACAGAATTTCAACCCGATAAAATTCTTCAAGTGAATTCAGTAATTCTATTCCCTAAATGAGGACTAAAAGGTCGTAAGAGTTATATCCTCTTAGTTTAACCATCCGCTCAGTGCACCATGCTCTAAAATAGGAGAAGGATAGCTACATGCACTTCACAGCTTGCTACATATCTTTCTTCTAAACAATGAGGGTTAAGGGGATTGATATACAAATCTGTAATAAAATCATGAGCAAATCTCATAAACTAATGAGAACTAAGCTATCTAGTTTGTCACTTGACGTAACCATACCATCCTTTTCTCCCTCACCTGATATAGTGTCTTCAGAACCAGCTTTCTCCTTCACTGTACTCTACAAACATCCTGCATATCTGCTTTAGTGGCCACTGAAGCCACAGGGAAGTCTGTAGTGATGTGAAGGAATGCTGAAGCTAAAATGTTTGGTCTACTAAATCTACATGATATACATTTGCAGCAGCAGAATTATTTTCTAACTATAAAAGCTGGATATAATAACACTTACTTGAAGTTCTTCATTTCCTGTCCTCTGGTAGTATGTTGGATGGTTATTTGAGCAATAAAGCCAGTTCTTAACTTGCTGTGTTGATGCAGTGGAATACCCTTCTAGTCATATTGTTGAGCAGTTTGCAGATCAAATTGCATAGTTTACTAACCAAAGGACATGCTGAATATTAATTGGCTTTTTGAAAATTCATTTTAAATGAAGATGCACGCTCGGCTGATCCGTCTTTGTAATTTATACATCCAGCTGTGAACTACTCCAGCTCTTCTGTATAATTCAGTAGGTGAACTGCATACACTAACTTCTGAAATTTTCCTTATTTTACTGATCAAGCAGTGTTTTTTATAACCAGAATTTCACACAGATACTTCCTGAATCAAACTGCACACAATTAAAGCAGCACAAGATTTCAAGATCCCTCAATTGTCCCGTCTTGTTAAATTTCTCGCTGTTGTCAACATTTTTTTACTCTTGCAAATACAAAATATATTGCTTAAGGTAAAATGCTCTTGTATGAAAATTTTTGTTTTACAAACACAAATAGATCGTTAATGTGTTTCTTAAAGTTTACATAGAGC